CCACCAGGAGCTACTGTACTGAACAGTGCAAGCTCAGAGCAGGCCCTCATTGCAAATGACCGAATGGGCAGCTTTAGCCTATATCCTCTATCACTTTCCCATCAGTCCCTTCTCAGCCAATTATTTGAAATAAAATTATATGTTGTTGTTGTTGTTGTTGTTGTTGTTATGTGCCATCGAGTCGCTTGCGACTCATAGCGACCCTACGCACAAGAGCTCTAAATGCTGTTCTATCCTGTGCCTACCTAGCCATCTCAAACGCACTTATTCCCACCGCTCCAGTCACAGAATCGATCCATCTCACCAAAGGTCTTCCTCTCCCTTCGCCGCCCCTCCACTCTGCCAAACATGATGTCCCTCTCCAAGGACCAGTCCCTCCTTGCAACATGCCCAAAATATGTCAGATGAAGCTTCAGAATCCTTGACTCCAGGAAACATTCTGGCTTCACCCTCTCCAGGACAAACCTGTTTGTTCTACTAGCAGTCCATGGTATATTCAACACTCTTCTCCAGCACCACAGCTCAAAGGCATCAATCCTCTTTCTATCAACCATATTCACTGTCCAACTCTCTGATGCATAGCACAAAACTGCGAAGACTATAGCCCAGATCAGGTGCACCTTAGTCTCCAACCTGACATCGTTGCTCTTCAGTACTCTTGAGAGGTCCCTCATAGCCGACTTTCCCAATGCAATTCGTCTCCTGATTTCCTGGCTGCTGTTACCAAGAGCGTTGACTGTGGAGCCAAGTAAATTAAAACTGTTAACTATCTCAATCTCTTCACTATCTATACTGATGCTGCCAATTGGCCCAGTGGTTAGAATCTTTGTTTTCTTGACATTTAGCTTCAGTCCATATAGGAGGCTGTAGTCCTTGAACTTCTGCAGCAAGCACCTCAGGTCCTCCTCAGTTTCAGCAAGCAAGGTTGTGTCATCTGCATAACGCAGGGTGTTGATGACTCTTCCACCAATATTCACTCTCAAATTCTGTACTATTCATTTTGTTCAGCTCTCACCTACTCCTCCTCTTTCCATCCTCTTTTCTAACACAACTAAATACACAAGCATCTCCAACTTAAGAACATGAAATATGTCAAATAGCCTTTTCTAAATTTCCACTCCATGTTTAAAGCCTCTGGAGTAGTTACCAATACACTCTCCAGTCATCCAAGTCTAAAAGTTTGGGACTAATCCTCAACATGCTCATCGTTCTCATACTGGAGTCAAAATTCTTCAAACGTTACCTACTCCATATCTCTATACATTTTCCCTCTAATACTGCTGCCCTAGTTTTCATCAGCACTGGACTACACTGCTTCAGTAATTAAACAATCACCAGGCTTCTGCTCTCCGTTTCCTATAATCTCTCCATCATAACACCACTAATGATTACTTGTTATAAAAGCTGTATCTGACCAAGTCATTTGCTCTTTAAAACACCTGACACATCAGAATAAAAATGCAAATGATTTCGTATAAGATACAAATGCATTCCCAACAAATGATCCTCTTCTCTCATTCCAAGTGCTTTGTGTGCTATTATTTCTATCTCTAAGGCCTAAGATGCCACTCCAAATTAAACCAAGGCTCTGTTACCACAAAGAGGAACCACTGCTCACATGTCTCCCTCTCCATAGAGATTCTGAGGCTGTCACACCCACCACTCTATGGAACAACTTGAAATTCTTCATGCACATCCTGATCATTTGCGTTGGAGTCACTATGTTTCTTTTGGGCAGAATGTTCCTTGCCTGCCCACACTCAGCATATTGGTCACATTCTCTATTTCTGTAATAGAATATCAACATAAAATTGCTCATTCTATTTCCAAAATGCACGAATCTGCTTTTATATAACAACATTAAATATTTATATCATAGCCTCCTGTTAGCTAGTTAGACTTCAGAAGGCCTCTTGATCCACTCTGTACGTTTCCAGCTGATATTTAGGACAGGGAATGTTAGAGTCTATCTATGATGTGAGTTAGGTCATTGCCAGTCTTCTTTGTGCTATTCAAGCAGGCGGCTGTGCTTCCCTGTCTAAGTATGCACTTCCTTGTCTGGAACACTGAGGTCACCCAGCCAAAGCCTACACACACTGTAGGTTTCTGCTTAAGCCTCACTTCCTCCTTAGAAGAGCCTACCCCATTAGTATTTTCATTTTCCCTGCAGTAATCACAATTTAATAACACTGTGCTGAGTTTTTTGGTTTTTAAAAGTCTCTCTACTCAGCTACAACACAAAGCAGAAATATCCGTGAAGGAAAAGTCTATGTCTTGTTTCCAGCAGTAAACGCACCAGTTTGAACAAAGGTTGTATTTAATAAATATTGGCTAATGGTTAGATACCCCAAGAGGCTTCCCTCAAGAGTTTATAAAGTAATAGAAAGAAACATATGCAAATAAGATTTTAACTAAAGGTCTAAATGACAGACAGAAAGACCTGGGAACTCCCCATGAATCTAGGGTGACCCAATGAACATACATTTGAGATCTGTTCTCCTGTGCCATTCTCATCATCTCTGACACACCTGAGCCCATCATGGCAGTTACGTGTCAATCCATTCCCTGATAGGTCATCTTCTCCTTTCCTGACTCTCTCCATCTTTCCAAACATGATGCCCCTTTCTGAGGAATAGTACCTCCGAGCAACACATCCAAAATATGAGAGACAAAGCTTTGTCATCTTTTCCTCCAAGGAGCATGCTGGCTGAACTTTCTCCAAAACATATCTATTTGCTCTTTTGGCAGCCCATGCGATACTCAGTACTCTTCTCCAACAATACAACTCAAAGGCATCGATTCTTCTTCTGTCATCCTTATTCACTGTTCAACTCTCAAATGCATAGCAGGTGACTGAAAAGAGCATGGCCTACACTGGGCACACCTTAGTTTTCAAACTGACATCATTTCTCTTCATTATTTTGGTGAGGTCCTGGACTGTGGGCTTGCCCAATGCAGTATGCCTTCTGATTTCCTGACTACTACTACTAGATGTTGTTGCAGCCCTTGGCTACCCTGTGCCAACTTTACTCTCTCCAAAACACTTGCCCTCATTACCCCAGTCACTGTATCAATCTATCTCATTGATGGTCCTGTTTTTTTCCATCCCTCTACCTATCCAAGTATGACATCCCTCTCCAAGGACCAGTCCCTCTTTGCAACATATCCTAAGTATGCAGACGAAGTCTCAGAATCCTTGCCTCCAAGGAACAGCCTGGCTAAATAGTACTCTGTAATATGCAAAAACACTGTGATTGAAATACCAGATTTCTTAATGATACCATTTCTTGTTCTTATAAATATTTATTCTGTGTGTGTTTTATAACATTCTGGATTACTTTGCTATTTTACAAAAATTAAACACTTTTGTGATCCTACCAGTATGTAATGCCAAATAAATGGGTTGTTGTTACGTGCTGTCAAGAATCTTGCAACCTTGGTCAATAGCTCTAAACCTGGCTCTATTTTGAGCCACTTTCATTGTCTCTGACACACCTACCCCCATTACCCCAGTCACTGAGCCAAATAAATGGTAACAATAACCAAATTCTCTTCTCTGTTTTCAATAGAACAAGCACTAGAAGAGCACATGGTAAAAAAACATTATAAAGACAATTGCTATAGTTTGTAGTACAGAGGGGGAAGCAACACCAAAGAGAAACACAAATAGCCACTACAATCAACTCTTGAGTACCAGTCACAGCAGCCCTCCCTGCATTTCTGAGACTATAAACCTTTACCTGAGTAGACTGCCATCTTTCTCCCCCAAAACAACTGGTGGGTTTCAACAGTCAATCCTCCAATGAGCAGTTCAATACATTGTGAGTACTATGCCACCAAGGCTCCTAACAATCTAAAAGGAGGACCTAGTTTATTTAGTTGAAATATTTAATACGTTATTACATCTGAGATTACTATTCCAGAAAAAGTTCTAATAAAAAATGCTTGCATACTCCTAGGCAACCATGCGTTTTTATTCTCGTTAGTGTAAACAAGGAATTAACTACAAATTAGATATCAAGTTAAGAAAATTTAATTTATACATAGTTATATATACATTGAATTTAATTACTAGGACATACCATTACAGATAAGGACAGGAAGAAATGACAAAATCCAGTTTCTTTTCTTCTGTTAACTATTTATTCTGTTCTATTGACTGTTATTTAAATGTTAACTATTGGACAGTGACCCTTTTTACTACGACCAAAGGTTATGATATCCTCAAATATAATGGTCACAATAAATGTTTTCACTGCTACAATCTGAAAAACTGAAGAGCTTCTTTTTATATATAATCCAACGATTCTATACTTCTACACTCAATCTCTCCTATCAAAGTCAGTCATAAGATGCAGAGAAGGAAGAACAAGTAAAGAGGAACAGCACTTACCCTAACAGTGAAGAAGCCTACCTTCTTTTATTTAACTCAAAGAGGGCAAAGATCACCTTCATCCCACACAGTTACTCTTAAGTCTGTTCAACCAAACATATTTCCTTAACCTCCAGTGAATAACCATGATATGTACTTCAGATAATGTACATCTTGTCATACTTTTCAGGCACACTTGACTCCTACCACAAAGGATTGCCACAACATGCGCTGATTTGACCAGCCTGCTTCTGTACTTATTACCAAAAGAATAAGATATAGTTGTTGTAAGATTATTTTTTTTATAGAAGATGTTCTCTATGACAGAACAGTAATTGTACCACCTTAAAAGTCTTTAACATACTTTGGGTATTTGTGTTTTATAAATGAAGTAAACGGACTCCAAGAAGGAATGAAAATTCTACACACACACAATGTTACTATGTTAAAGGTAGTTCTTTCAACACAAAGTTTTCAATATTTGCCAAATTTCTGTAGTGACATTAGAATATGTCACAATTCATGAACTTAAAGCTAGTTTAAATATATGTAAAGGTAAGCTGAGTAAGGAATAAATAACAGTTCTTTTTATATTAGATGTACATAAACTGGAAAAAATTTTACTTACTTTCTGCTCAGGATTTTCTTGAAATAAAAGTCCAAAGTAGTCCTTCTCTAAGAGATTGAGATGTTCACAGACTTTGTCAAATAACACTTGTCCTTTAGCACGTTTCTGGAAAGACAAAAAATAGCCTTTACTTTTCAAGCAACAAAGATTTATTAACTCTGTCAACAAATGCATAATACACTGTAAATCAACACATCAGTTTTCCAACTTTCTTTTGTTGTTTGCTATGTACCGTAGAGTCAGAACTGACCCAAAGCTGACCCGCCAGTGGGTTTTCAGAGGCAGTGAATTGCACGGAAGGAGACTGCCCATCTCTACCCAAGGAGTGGCTGGTAGATTTGAACACTGGGCCTCCAGGTTGGCAGCGCAGTTCCTTATCACTAGGCGTTTATGTAACTCTACAAAAGTGATCTCATTTACATAACTACAGACACACATTCACAACCACAAAGCTTAAGTTCTATAATGAAGTCATTATGAGAAAGACAACTTATGCTTCATTGATAACTCTATGTAAATATAAAAAATTATTAACATAAAATTTGAAGTTAGTTTGCTTTTTTCTTAAAAAAACATATTAAGCCAACTATGTTCAAGCAGGGAGTTATTTCATTTCCACATGGGTGACTTTGTAAGCTTTACTCTTCTGTGGTTAATTTCTAGTTTTATGGCATTGTGGTCTGAGAAAATACTTTGTAGTTTTTAATGATTTTTAATTTGGCGAGGCTTGGTTTCTGTCCTTCTACATGATCAATTCTGGAGAATGTACCATGTGCACTTGGGAGGAAAGTGAATTGAGTTTTATTTGGGTGCAGTACTCTGAATACATACACGAGTCCAAGTCGGCTGATTATATAGTTCAGATCTTCTGCATCTTTGTTGAGTTTCTTTTGAGTTGACCTATCCTTCGGTGATAGTGGTGTGTTGAAATCTTCTACCACTAGTGTGGTGGCATTTCTCCCTTCAATTCAGTTAACGGTTGTTATACATATTTTGCAGGTCTATCATTTGGTGCATAAATGTTGACCAAGGTTATGTCTTCTTGATCTACTGTGCCTTTAATCTGTATGTAATGCCCTTATTTATTTTTTATATTGGTTTTCATTCTGAAATCTATTTTATCAGAGATTAGTATCGCTACTCCTGCTTTTTTCTAAGGTTTCCATTTGCTTGATATATTTTCCCCCCAGCCTTTGATATTGATTCTGTCTTTCTCTTCCTCTTTTAGATGTGTCTCTTGTAAGCAAAACATTGATGGGCTTTATTATCTTAACCATTTTGCTACTCTTTCTCTCTTAATTGGTGTATTTAGTCCATTCACATTAAGAGTGATTATTGTCAGGCCAAGTTTTACTTTTGCCATTTTGCTGTGTTTCTTTTTCTGTTGTTTCTGGTTACTATGGTCCATCTATTGTTCCATCTCACTCCAGTAACAGTGACAAAGTTTATCAGGGCATCAAATAATAAATGTTGGAGAGGATGTGGTGAGAAAGGAACTCTTATATAGTTGGTGGGATCATAAAATGGAAGAATCATTCTGGAAGCCAGTTTGGCATTCCCTCAAAAAAAACTGAACATAGAAATTCCATATGACCCAGCTAGTCCACTACTTGGAATATACCCTGAGAAAATGAGACTGAGGCACAAATGGAGATTTGTACACCAATGTTCATAGCAGCATTTTCACCATCCCAAGAACATGGCAACAGCACAAATGTCCAACCACAAACGACTGGATTGAGACATTTTAGAACCATGGAATACTAATGCAGCATGCAGGAACAATGATTTTTTAAATTATTATCTAACTTGGGAGGGACTGAAGAGCATTATGCTGAGTGAACTAATTCAGTCCCACAAGGATAAATGCTGTATAAAATCATTATTGTAGAATTAGTATAAGGATCCAAGAAGGGGGGCAGAAGTTGGAAAGCAGAGGGATGAGGATGTGCAGGGGGAGGGGGGATTAATCGTGGGGTTGTACAATTTGATGGGTGGGAGGGTGAAGAAAATGGAAAGAATTTGTTCTCAAAAACAATGCATTAGAATTTTGTAAATAAACTAGAATAAAATTTTTAAAAACAATATTAATATGTATGTAAGCTGCTTTGCTTAATTCCTCAGTGTTGTTGATAACCTACAAACAAGGTACTTCGGAAAATTATTTAGTTTAATCATTTATGTGGTCTATTAAAATTCATTCCATCAGAGGTACTAATTTTGTTCTAAAATATTTAAGAATAAATATGTTTTGAATGTAAATTATCTTTCTCTTTAAAATCTTCTAAACAAGCGTACAGTGCTCACTTGTTTAGACATATTTTAGAAAATACAAAGTAATAGACTAGAACAATTCATTGACTACCTTTGAGCCATTTAACTGAGTTTTGTCTCAAATTTTTTAAAAAAATTTAAGAAGCTGCTATCAATAGACATATAAAAGTTTTTCACAGCTACAGAAGAAAAGCGTATGGTCCAATCAATGTCAAAACATAACCAAAGCAGTGAGTGGCCCATTTCTCCTTAAGATGCCCACACCTGGGAATGCCTCCAGTGAGGTGAGAACAGACACATGCCTCCTTCCCCAGAAAGAACAAGCCATCAGACTTTAAAATACTCAAAATGAAAATTCTCACCTCACCAAAATAGACCAGTTAGCACATCTAGTGCACAAAAATTCATGTTCGTTCTCCAAATCCATTTTGGAATGGAAGAAGATATCAAATATTACACCTCTAAAGAGATTTCTAAGGATAGTCTTCACAAAAACTTGATCAAAATACTTCAATCTCTCTCCTTGAGAGTTGGCTTATCATTACAGATAACAAATCAGCATGTAGTATCAGGCATTACTAAGAACACTTAAGATAAATTCACAACTCTACATCACTCTTTCTCTCTCTCTCATTGTCATCAATCAACTCAGCTAACTGTTGTGAGTTTTAAAAGACTATAAATTGCCTTGGGAGGAGATTGTCTATCTTTATCCTAAGGAGCTCTTGGTCTTGGGTTGGCAGTGCAACTCCCTCCCTACCCACTAGGCCACCAGTGTCTACAAAGTTAAAGTAAATAAACATATAGTATGTAGTGGCTCAGATAGGGGCTCCACTGTGGGGTTAACCACTAGTTGAAGTCCAAATTCAGCTGAAGTACCTTGAAAAGCAGTTCCAGTGATCTGTTTCTGAAAGGCCACTGCCTTGATGAAACTCCTACAGAACACATTTACTCTGCACATATCGGGTCACTTTGAGTCACAATCAACACAACAGCAACAATCAACAATAGGTAGGAAAACTCCTGGATTCCAAACACCTAAATTCTAAATTCATGTACATGGTATTACAATCTATGTGATCAAATCATGTCTCTTCTGTGGCTTATTTTGCATACCTGTGAAATGGAGTTAACAGCAAAACCTATCACAGGGAAAACAGTGAGTGCTAAACAAGTTCTAATACGTACAGAGCTTTGGCGGCACATGCTTTATGTTTCCTCTTTACTGATCCTATTCTTTTAACGACAAATTTTATAGAAAAGGACTCATTTCTTTGGCATGATGTTTTAGTTTACCTTTGAAATAGTTCTGGATTTCATGATCTAATTTTCACACAAATTAAAAACTGCAGCTTGGAGGTACGTTAAGTAAACTTTAAGACAAGGTGACTCAAATCATGACAGACTTAGGAATGTAGTCTTCTTTATAGGAGTCCAAGACACATATTAAGAGGTTTAATTACAAATACCAGCACTTTTTATAAGTAATCGAAGATATAGTTTTATTTCAACAACACTGTTCACTCCTAAGTCATGAGAATGTTGCCCAAATAGTAAATAGGTTGTTGTTGTTAAGTGCTGTAGAGTTGTAGGTGACTCATAGCGACCCTATGAATGAAAGTCCTGGACACCTGTATAACTTTCGTCCTTTCTCCGAGTTCATAGGGTTTCCAGAGGTAAGGTATAATGGAAGTGGATGCTGCTCCTGCTTCCAAGCTTGTTTTAATTGGGGAGCTCCACCAAACACTGTCTGCTACGGGTAACCATTCTCACATTTGACTCATCAATGTCACAGTGTTCGGCTTCACAGCAACCACGAGTTATACCTCTGTACGGCAACTGGACACACCAGGGTTACACAACCTAGAAGAATGTTTCACCCAAAACAATTAAAAGCAGGCCCGAGGGCCACAGAGTAGAGTCGCCCACCTTTGGCTTGGGCACATGACTTTCTGTCCGCTAGGCTCACTGCTCTCTCTTTCTATGCTGTTCTTGTCGTCATTGTTAAGTGCCATCGAGTAGTAGGTGACTCATTGTAGGTAATCAAGCAATACTTGTTCAAACGAAGTATAAAATTAATAATAAAATACTGTATTGTATTATAGAGAGCTCTGATAACCTAGTGGTAAGAAACTGCTGTTTCAAATTCACACGCTGCACTATGGGAGAAAGATGAGCGGTCAACTCTCATGCAATTTATAGTCTCTGAAAATCCACTGAAGGCTCAGTTCTAAATCAGCCCCAAGTCCATGGTGCACAACATCATCAATAACAACATCGTATTGTACTTTGTGTTTGTTGGTGCTGTTAAGTGCTGTCTACTGTGACTTATAGTGATCTTATGAACAATAGATCTGAATCGTGCCCTATCCTGAGCCATCCTCACAAACTCCAACATGCTTGAGTCCATTGTTACAATTACTACATCAATCCATTGTTGAGGGTCTTCCTCTCTTTCTCTGACCCTCCACCTTTCCCAATTTACTGTCTTTTCCCAAGGACTGGCCCTTCCTAATAGAGTGCCCAAAACATAAGGAGACGAGGTTTCATCATCCTTGTCTCTCAGGAGCACCATGGCTGAACTTCTTCCAAGACATGTTTTCTTTTGATTGTTGTTAGATGCCAGCGGGATGAGTACAACTCACAGCAAGCCTATTAACAGTCATCCTGAAACCTTCCCTATTCTGTGCCATCCTCAACATCTCGACACATTAGAGTCCATTGCTAAAGTCAGTTTTGATCCATCTCATTGAGGGTCAGCTCCTTTGCTTACCTTCCATTTTTTCAAACATGATGTCCCTTTCCAAGTAACAGCCTCATCTAGCTACAAG